GGAAGAAGACTGATACAGCTAACCGACGACCTTAAACAAGGAAAGAAGATGACGTTCCAGGAATTAAAGCGAGAAGCCGAGAATAGGGACAACTGGAGAGCTCTTTTTGGGCAGAGCAATGGACTTGTCGTAAGACAGAACACTTAATAATAATAATATATATATATAGATAGATAGATAGATAGATGGCTAATTTGGTCAAATTGATAAGCTGGGATTATACAACATTAATTTGTTTATGAATTCACTTAGTACAAGAAATAAATTGTTCCAGTGATGTTTAGATTGCTTTACACTATTCAAGAATATCAGACATACATCTTCTTGTTCTCCGGGAGAAGGAACATAAGATCGTTTAAGAAGGCAGTTTATCACTCTTGACTTTACAAGAAAGATACTTATGTCATCTGACCAGAACTTGTTATGAGTATAGTAGTGTATTATTCCGAGTAACTGGCTACTAAATTTTTTTTCCCTGCATGCGCTATTAACTGATTCTCTGTTAAATGTACGGCTTCGAAATCAGTTACTTAACTTGAGAGTTGTTTTCAGGACGCTGTATCAACAAGTAAATTTGAAGATTGCTGTCCTCTGGGTTGTTGCGTAGTATAGTGTGGTAGATGTCCACCAACCTACCAAGCTGCCCTGATGACGGAGGCAGCATGACCTCTGAAACGTTGGTAAACATCGACCAGGCTACACAGCGCAACAACCCAGAAGACAGAAATCTTCAGACTCACCGCTGCGAAAACCTCAAATCCTACAAATAAATTTGAGTCGCTTCAACGTAGTAGGCCTGCTGGAAATACTATGTTACTGTTATATGAGAACAATTGTGGAAGGAAGTGACCAAAGCCTATTTAAAGCAATATTGTGGAATTGTCTTTGACATACTGAGGATACCAACACAAATTTGTTATATTGTTCGGTACCTAGACTGAGACTCCAATCGAGTACCTCTTATATACAGGTCTCCGTTTTTTATAATATTCTGTGTTGAATTGGACGTTGCGTTAGGACATGTTTCCAAAAGTAAAAGCTGAAAGTGCTTTCAGAATTTAAAATTAAGGTCGCGTAAATGTAGGCTACTTTACTGCTACCACAGTTTTACTTCATTTGCCATTGAAATGTGAACAGCTTCGCAGAACACTGTTTTGTCGCTCCTGAGTGAGAACCAGGCGTTAAAATGGCACGTTTAATGGTACAAGCAGTCAAGGATATAAGACCGTGCCTGTCACGAGAAACTATTCTGTAAAATCCCAGGTTAAATGTTTGCATGTGTTCAATGAACTTTAACAAGGATATCTTCCGATGACGTTATTATATACGCATGACCTTCATGGATTTTCCCTCAAGGGGACAAATAATCACTAAAACTGTTCTTCAATTCAGTGTTCTTGTCTGTATTTTCATAAACTACAGGCAAACTAAGCGTTGAGAATTCTAACTTGAGTGTCGAACGCATGTGATTCGAAATTCGCTTGTCATCGGCATTCTTGATTATTTTCGTGATGATTACTGAAATTTTCAGTATTCTGACACAGAAGTGTGAATATTATGGCATATTTATCCTCACTTTTTACGGTCCATCTACGCACACACACACACAGAAGCAAATAATGTCCCAGCTTATTAGACAAGTTTAATATCTTTGACTTTGATATGTTAAAATCTACTAAATAAATTACCATCATTGAATAGATTCATTCATGATAAGGTAATAGTCATTCATTTAGTCAAGAAGTTCGCCTCTTTTTATGGAACCTGAATGTTCATTAGTCCGTCACTAGGCCCTATCCTGGGCTGGATGTATCCAGTGTACACGAGTATATTTAATTAAGATCAATTTTAATATTATCCTACCACCTAATCCAGTGTACACGAGTATATTTCATTAGGATCAATTTTAATATTATCCTACCACCTACAATTAAATCTCTACAGAGGTCCCTTTCCTTCATGTTCTTACCTCAAAGTAAGAGATAAATTTTCACATTCATACAAAACAATAGATAAAATTGTAGCAATGAATATTTTAATCTTTGCGTTTTTTGATGGGTCACGAGAAAACATAGGACTTTTAAATAAATGGTTACAAACCCCGAATTTAGCCTGCTCATGATTTCTTCGTAACTATAGGCCTGATTTTGATATGTTGCTACCGTTTTCAAAGAAGCTGTGACTGGCAAGGTTTTATACATCGTTAGACCATAAGTATTCCCCGTAATGCATGAAGTAATGTGACGCAAATATTCGCTGATATTTATGTGCATCGTTACGTTACCAAATTAATTAAATGCTCAGCCTTGAGCAGATCGAAACTTCGAACAATGGAGAGCACTGTCTGTTGGGCATTCGTTTGAATTTTTACTCAAGCCCATGTAACAGACAGTGGCGTATGGTAATAGCTTGGTATAAATACAGGTTCTTCATGCAGCACACTCATAACCGACAGAGAAGCAACAGGCGATACCTCGAGACAGAAGGTCCTGGTATGTATAATACTACAGTAGAACAAGAAGCTGTTGTAACGAAGACGGCTAATAGAATTACATGTTAGTAACGAATGTTGAATTTGAGGAGAAACCCTTCCTTGTTGGCGTAATATTTTAAGTTGCTTTTCTTGGTTTTAGCCTTAATTAACAGAAAATATACACTCACGAATTGAATTAAAGTTTAGGTTTAGAATCGGACGTTGAAATTCGGGCTTATTCTGCGTAATATCTCAAACATGCTAAATAAAATTGTAAAGCTTATCAAGATCTTAAGCTTGTTCTTGTCAAACATGCATTTTTATTACGTGTGAAGGATTTTAGAAATTTGAAAAATTAGATTAGATTATCATATAAAATGATATTTTACCTCACCAATATGGAACATTCTGTTTATTTTGTTTTATTTGATAAATACTTCTGAGCAATTAGGCAAAGAACAATTGCATTTTAGATATCACATTTTGCTACCCCGCAGGTATTCCACCTTGGCGTGGTGGGAGGCTTGTGTGTCCCGATAATCCCGAGAGCTATACCGGCGGTGGCTTTGCTACCGGTAGGGCCTCCCAAGCCGGACAGGTCAAGGGTAGGGACCAGACTAAAAGAAATACCCTGGTCCTCCAGGTTGGGGGTTGGATCGTAAGGTCAACACCCCTACATCTGTAAAAATGATATATGTTGAGAAGCCTCTTAAAGAGGAGGCTAGGGCTCGATTTTGGGCTGTTACGCCCTAGTGGTAGTAGTAGTATACCTTCAGGTATCGTTTAAAGCGTTTCTATTTGACGAAAATCCGTTCATTTGTCTAGCTTATTGATTAATCCAATGCTGATTGGTCATTAATAAACAACTGAAGGTAGCTGTCTTCAAGGATGTAGTGCGGTAGATATTGACCTGTGGGCACCTTGATGAAGGAGGCAGTAGGCTCCACTGAAACGTCGGTCGGTATCTCCCAGACTGAAGAATGGTACATCCCGGACGACTTCTATCTTCATACTCATCGCCGTGATAAAGTCAAATATCTCCAGATTAACAATTATTTTTTGGTGTTATAGGCTGATATGGAAAATACAGTAGTCCTACGTATTCTGATGGAGCTGAGTCTCCTATGTGCATCCATCTCTGTTTGTTGGAGTAACAGTTGCCCTTCACAGACACAGGCAGCTGCAAAGTTCACAATAAGCAGTCGCCGTAATCAGACCGGTCATTGGATATCACAGGTGGGATGCCTTTATTGTCCTGTTACAAACTCCACTTAACAGAATGACAGATATTTGGCACAAGTGATTAACAAATTAACTGACTAGATGAATTTCTAATTGACTGGTTTATCAAGTAACTGGCCGGTTAACTAAATAATTAGCTGGCCGACAGCGTGAACATCTAACTTAGTAAGTTATTGATTAAATAAATGAAGTTGTAACACCGAACCCGAAAGTTTTATTAATGCTTATTGATTAAATAAATGAATTTGCAACACCGAACCCGAAAGTTTTATTAATGTTTTAATGTATTAATGTTACTCATGTCTTACATCCAACTAATGGACAACAGATAGCCTGTTTGAACTGTCCTGACAATACAAACAAAATAAAATAAGATATTTATGCAGTTTCCTCAACTGCTTACGTCTTATCTGTAGGTATGAATGTTTTCTTTGCAACTTAGTTTCGTCTACAGTGTTTTAAATTTTTATTTTATTTCCATTTCATTAATATAGGTCTTAGGGACTATTTTGTCCGGATCTACCTACAGTATTAATGGTTTAGAAACATTAGGACTATTGGCATCCTCGGAAGTAGGCAATAAATTTTAATAAAGTACCTGTCACATTAGCATCCCTCTTGCTATGAGGCTGGTTCTCCTGTTCTCAGGTTCGCTTAGAACATGGGACGCAAGAGCACATAGTTACTAGCCCCTGGACCGTTGAGGTAGAGCAGAACACAGCGTCCTGCCAAGGTCTCGAGTCAGTACAGCTGGTGGCCACTGTCACGGGTAAAGTTATTGCGAGAATGATGATCAAAGTGCACTCAACTTCTCCACTTCACTTTTCTCTAGTTTGTGCTCGTGGTGGGGCAAAGTAAGCTGTCGTCAGATGAAACGCGAAGGTTGAATTCAGTTGAGCATTGTATCATCTTTGATCTAAACGACCAGTTTTAATTCATTAATAGAACAGTGATTGTTTATTGAATTTAACAAGACAAAAAACAGTGTATATAACTTTGAATATATTTGAGATGAGCACAAAATTATTTATGCTCTTACGTAAAGTGGTCGTTAAGAGTGTCCGATCTTAATACAAATATAAATTGTTCGACAATTTTTAGTTAAATTATCGATTATTAAACTTAATTAAAATCGGGGTTTCCGTTCTCGAATTTATTCTTGCGTACGAAGGAGGATGACCACGCCTTATCTTTTCCCATCACGGTGTGTGCTACAACCTGTGCATCAAATCGACGCCATCGTGAAAAAACTGGAATTTTTGCTTTATTAAAGCGCCCCCTCCCCGCGCGGGGCCCGGGTATGAGCTGCGCAATGGTTTGGGTTACTACAAGGTGCACAGTGAACCCAGGAACTGGCAGGAGGCGCGTAAGATCTGCGCCGAGGAGGGAGCCCACCTCGCGATCATCAACTCCGAAGAAGAGTCCAAAGCTGTGCAATCAATGTTCGTTCCTGTTGCCGAAAAGGCTAAAACGGTGTGGGCCTTTATTGGCTTTCATGACTTATACACTGAAGGACAGTACCTCACCATCTTCGGTAAGCTTATGTGATCACTCTCGGCAATTTGCTTTGTGGCAAAACTGTTTTCTTCCAAAGTGGAATTGATGCAATTGTTAATGCAATTCAGAAAGTAAAAGTAAAGTAAAGTTTGTCCCACTATACGCCATGTAGGCGCTTGGGGTGAGTGGAGGTATAGCTCCTCCCTTCCTTCACCTCGGCACTAGATGGGGGTGAGTGGTCAGCATCACGCCCCGGCTGGCTTTACCCCCGGGAAAGGACCCCGGTACCCTTTGTAGAGGAGGCTGGGTGGGCCCCAGAGCCGGTCTGGACGCAGAGGCTAGAGGAAAAAATCCTCTGCCCCGTCGGGAATCTAGTTTGACATTCATCGTATTGTTCCAGTTTTGTGTACGAATTTTAACATTGTGTACATGAACTGAATTACTACCACTTCTACTGTCAAGGCTGTAAATTCTGTATGCCAGTCTTTATTTATTTTGCCCAACTGAAAAACGTGTTTACGCAATATACCACGCCTACTTTCTATTAACATGTAAATAACTTTAAAAAAAATTAAAAAGACGTCAGTTTATCAATTGAGTAATGATGCACACGCAATTTAAAAACTGGAATTAGAAGTAGTTGATCAGTTATAAGTGTGCTGATTTGTGTAAAAATATTCTCTTCACTAAAATACCTTCAATGTCTCTTAGGCGTAAAATATCCGTAATCAAAATAAATCTTAATTGTTCTGAAATCGCTTGGCTGACTGCACTTGTACCTAATTTGTAAGAATTAATTGACAAGTGTCACCAAGTTTTATCAGCTCTCCGGTGATAACATGCTAGTCCTCTTCTTCAGATGAACCGCTGAATTCAACTGGATTCTACCGGTGGGCCGGTACAAACCAACCCGATAACTACGGTGGTAACTCCACTTATCCTGGGGAGGACTGTGGCTCAATCCATACAAACGGTGGGATAAACGATCTCGCCTGCCAAGCCAAGGTTCCGTTCATCTGCGAACAGGAACTTTGGTAGGAGGACAGGTGAATTTGATATCTCATAATTACATAACATATAACGTCTTTGTCCATAGATGCGTATAAGAAGAGGCAAATCTCTGCATGCCAAGAGTCGTGCAGATTATGTGCACGAAAAACTAAAGCGAAATCTACCATCCACATTATAAACAAATACAAGCAACGTCTCAGAATGCAAAATTGTGAAGTTGCTCCTATGCTAGATTAAGTACCACGCTATGAAGGCATATTGTAGAATGGTTGTAGGGAATGTACCTCTGGGTATTAGATAGAGTTAAGGGGTTAGATTCATTCTCTGGCAACTTTATCCCATGGGAAACCGCTCCCTATCAATGGATTGAAGGCTGAATATTACAGCCGAACTCCACTGATATTCTTTTCAGCTAGCTTTCGGTCAGCAGAAACATGAGGTCCTCTCAAGGATACTGGGATGCATTCAACGTGACACAATTTTTGTAAAAGCTACTTCTAAAATCTTTATTGAAATCTTTAGTGATGTACAGCGACACTGACATTCGACTGCTCTTGGCCACGAATTGACCGTTAGTGACGCTAACAATTTATAGCAGAAGTGTGCTTTTATTTCACACAGGCAACATGAATGACGTTAATATCTATCGACATAATTGATTGCAGAAGTGAATAAAATTTAAATCCGGATTACTAGTAAAGTTGGACAAATGGAAGAAAACCTTTAACGTAAAGCGCTTACGAACATTGAAAATTATCCCTAAGAACTTACTTTATTTACAGTTAAATTTTTTTAACTCGTATGAATTTACGGCCCATGAAATTAATTAATTAGGAAGCTGGAATTTTTATTCCAAGTGCTACTTGAACTCAAATGGCCCCTGGAATAAAACGAATTTTGCTGGAAAATTAAATTCATATCCGGATAACATCTGCTATTGATTTCATCTCTTTATACCTGTTCATATAATATTTAGGCTATATTTAATTCGAGTGGAAAGATATTTAGTCACAAGACAGTGTGATAATAATTACATAGCTTTAAGTCGATGTCGATGTGAAAGATACGCAACTTATATTAGCCCTAATAGGAAATTATCTGTCATAAATTTTTGTTCTTTAGGATTTTAATTTTAGTGGATTTCGAAGTTCAAACTTTAGCCTCTGAAACATTTGCTGTTTTCCAGTGAATTTTGTTTTATTTAATTTTGTGCATTCCGGTTAACAGTATTAGCTTTTGCATTTCAAATGTCAAAATTCCATTTTGTGCTTATGAAGAAATGAATTTATAAATGCATTACCGTTTTATTTAATCTGATACTAACCGCAATGTCGTTCTGTACACTAGGATGGCTAAACCAGCCGTTACGAAATCTGCATCAAAATGCGACACACTTCATAAATCCAGCACAGCCATGCATTTGACACTGGACGTTTTGCCTGAGTAAGACTGTTGGTGGCGAGGGGCTGGTATTTGGTGTGGCGTCTTCTTAATAATTACAGAAATACCGAATGAAAGCTGAGTGTACTTCTAATGTCGTTCCTTGAAGGTATCGATAATGCTGTGAGATTTACGAAATAAAATCTGCGGATAAATAGTATGCATCCTATAATAGAACAGCTGTTCTATCAAGTTGTCGGCCACATTGTAATACCCGAGTTACATCCCTCAACCCAGTATGGCTCACCTTGACATTGTTTTAGCATTTATACAAGTGACTCAGTGCCTGTAATACACCAAAACAGGCTCTGAAAGTTCTCTGCACTTTTATTTCTTCCTTCGAGATTCAGATTTAACGAAGCAGCAATCAACATCATGTTTTAGAGGCTTCCTTGAAGGGTTGGAAGCAATTCAGCTGACAAAGAGTCTCTCTCCTATGAGACCGATAGGTTGTTTACCATGGAGACCCTTTCTTGGACAATATGATTCCTTTCCATAACCATACCTATTATTTCTCTAATATCCATTTTTCCCCTAGTATCTACGTTTGTATTTTAAAATAAATGTCTTTTAATGAGGTTTTCTGCCCAAAATGTTGTATGCATTTCCTCCCTGTGTGCTCCATGCCCCCTCCTACTTTGTTTAATGTCAATACCACAAATTGTGAAGTTTCCCATTTCTTAATATCTTCCTTATTCGTGTTATTTTTCTCTGAGATTAAAATATACCCCACAGTTATTTGTTCTCAAACATACACAGTATTATGCTCTTTCCTTACACATCAATCACAATCTTGCCCTCTTCGAATTCTTATAACTAGCGAAATCACCCGCGGGGTTACTTGTAACAGAAAGTAGTAAAATAATGCAACTGCTTATTTGTATTTATTTATTTGTGGTTTATTTAACAACGCTGTTAGTAGCTCAGGCTGACTACGATTAAAGAATAATGAACTGGAAAGACTATGGCATGACGCGGTCGAGATCTCATTTAAGGCACTGTTCAATTATTTTCTGGAGGACTGAGGAAAACCACGAAAAATCTCAATCAGAACACTACCAGACGACGGAGGCGCGGTGTACATTCGTCTTTTTATGCACTACAGATATCCGATTGTGACCTACTAGTAACCAAATCAGAAACAGAGAAAACTTGAAAGACAGAAGCATTGCGTGTAACAAACCAACAAAGTCCAAGGAGCAGTCTTTTTATGTGAGTGTCGCTCATGAAAGCGGAAAGTTAATTTCCGTGGTCATTAGAGCCTGTCTCTTATTCCCATCCTGAGCCATATGAATCCACCTGTTATCCTAAGATTTATTTTAATATTATCTTCCCATCTATGTCAGGTTTCCCGCATGGTCTTCCCATATAGCTCTCGAACTAACATTTTCTCCAAAGGATTGTGAATAGGCCTATGCAAGACATGAAACGCTCTCGCACTGCACGTTTCGGTCCGCAATTCTCGAAACAGCCGAGATATTAACATTGAAAAATCGTGTAGGTATATTGGGTAAACAAAAGAAAACAAAACGTGGTTTCTTGGGATACATTCTACATGAGCTAGACACGAAATGTGTAATCCTTGACCTAGGGGTCGCGCTCTTGGTGGCAGCGACTGGAATGTTCACTATCTGCTTCACGAAAAATGATGCCTCGCGTCTGTCACATAAGCTTATGTTTGCACGACTCCTGGTTCATGAACTGTGGTCCACAAGCCATCGACCTCAACAGGAAGATGATAATGGATCTGAAGTTGCTTTATGATAGCAACAAGACACAGCTGGGTGTTCCTCTTATTTTAGGTAACAGTTTTGCTGTATCCATTGCCTAGGTTCTCGTTTATGCATATGAACGTTTCTTTGATGTTATTCTTCATCAAGTTTAAGTTGATTAACAAATTTACTTAAATTCATATTTGTCTCTAGTTTTTCACGTATTTGACCCTCTGATCTGTTGCAATTCAGAATTATGTAGGATTTGAGGTTTTCACGGCGGTGAGTCTGAAGACAGCCATCTTCAATTCAGAATTAGTTGATAAAACTATGAATTTTTTTGACATTTTGTATAACTCATTAGATAGGAATCGGTCCACCATCTACTCCTTACAGCGAAATACAGAAAAATGCAGACAACATCCAAAGACGAGAGGGATTCAAAACCACGATCCTATTATTGAAGCAGTCCAAGATCCAGCTGCACTCTGATGCAAAATTTATTTTACTTGTAGTAAAACATATCATTAATTACATTGAATATAATTAACAAAAGCGTTTTTCATTTAATCTAGCCTCACACTACTTCACTGAAGATTTTTTTCTCGTTTCGTATAGGCCAGCTATATTACAGACGAATATTCATTTAGACTGTCATATAAAATGGTTCTACTACATGGTCAATGACGAGGTTCACCCCCAGCGTGGACCATGTTCTGTTGGAAAAGTAGCCTTGAAAATATTTCCTCCAGCTAATTAGACTTTCCTTGGCAATCATCATTAAAATACTCCATATTCACTCATCACCACGTGAGGCGTGCGTTAGGCCTGTCCAGCTGACTCATGAAATCATCTTCGTGTTTAGTTGGGGTTGTATTTTTTACTCAGTACTCGGCTAAACTCAAAATGAAAAAGTTAAATTTAACTTCATTTTACTTTCCCTAACTTGTAATTGTATATGTAATAAATAAATTTGTTGTCTTGCTATATTTTTTTGCGCAAGAATCACTAATGCAATATGCGCCTTGTCTTGTCATGTTTTATCGATTTTGTTTCACGAAAATCCTTCACTAGATTTCTAGCTCTGACATTTCTATGTGAACATTGCCCTCCAACATGTATATTTCCCGATGACGTAATCTGAAACATCTTTCTCTGAGCTGAAAAATAATTTCTAAGAAGTGACTGACGATAGACGCTAACAGTAACACCGCAGTATTCATAACGTAATGAAATGTTACTAGTAACACATTGTACTCGCGCACTTAATCTGATGTTTCCGAAGAAGTTGTTTCGAGCTTTTTGTTACGTTTTATCAACATCTGATTTTATACAGTATCGGCTAAGTTATTGTAGAATACTTGTAACAAATTCTTGAATTATTAAAATACAATGCTTCAACTACAGATGTCATACACCAAGGAGTGAGATAGGAAGGAGATCATGAATGGTGAGTAGGATAACATTTGGAAGGAGGTGGTCATAGACGCAGTATCAGAATTCGTCTGAATAAACTGAGACAAACCACGAAATATGTAAATCAAAATATCAAGAAATCGCGTAATCTGACCGATATTCGAGCCATATATTTCCAGAATACAAGAAGAGATGCCGCTACTTGAATCCTTTTGCGATAAGTAATAGGTTATTGAATTTTTAAAGATGTTCCAACACTTCCCTACATTGAGTCTTGTCTATTTAATGATGCGTTTAACTGCTTTGATTACGTAGCTTCGACTGTGAAATGAGGGATTGTTAATGAATGATGAGTTGCAGAAATGTTAAAGTATATCTTTTATGACGATCGTTGCATTTGTCTTGAAGAACCGAGTAAAATACAGAAGTTTCTGAGTCAGGTGAATAGGTCTATCGATCGGGATTTGAAGTGGAAACTAAATAGGAGTGCTGGAACGGCTGTGTTTCATTAGTTTGGAGGAACTCAGTGAATAATGAAAAACCTTCATGATAGTATTTTGAATTTAGATAAAGTCTTGTCAGAATTACGACATACTGTTTGCTGAATTTATCTTATGAGGAGTGTTGCTTCGTAAAATAAAACACGATACGCTGAAGACATATGGCAACAGCTAAATTACAGCTTGGGTGCAGCATATGCCAAGCTATGTACGAAATTCATGTGTAAATAAATAAAACATCGGAAGCAAAACAGAAAAGGACTCTGTTATTTGTAAGCTATAATTATGTTTGCTGGTATGTTTTATCGGATGCATTAAATACAGCCGATTTAAATATTAAATATGTACAGACAATATTTTATGGAAACCCTCTGTTGAGGAAGTTGGGATGAAAAGGGCACATGTCAGTGTTTTTTAAAAAAACTGTTTTTGTGGAAAATAACTGTTTGAGTTCAGATACATGAACTTGTCCAAGAACGTCAAATATTCCATTCAAATCTGAAAGGCAAGATAAAAGAGGATCGAAAGAACTATGTTTATTATTATTGGATTACATTATCAACCACATATCTGACATTGTCAAGGAGCTGAATAGTTTTCCTTTCCGACAGCAGTTCTGTATAAAAGATTGTTTGGAAAGTTTTGTCAGCTGAAAAAGTGAGATTCGCCAATTTTTTTCAATTTTTACGTGTTGTAGGACATAGGTTGTTTCCCTGTGACAGGTATTTTGAACTTATTAAGAACATTCTGCTTAAAATAGGTTGTATACACCAGAAGAGTATAGATAGAAAAATTACTGAACAATTGAGCAGGAATAAAAATTTTCAGTACGGTTTTACGGTAAAGTTGTTTATAGGGCCCATTTTCGTTTATTTCACAGTACTACACGAATAAAATCAACTCTCAAAGACCAGGAGGTGCTATTATCAAAGATTTCACTGAAGGCTTCATCACACACAACGCCAGGCTTATTTCTGTTCCATATAAAATACTTGGCCTACGAAATGAAAAAGCCAATAACAAATGTTAAAAATATTGACATCAATCAGGTCATGAAAAATATTGTTCATGATCACCATGATTGTTAGACTTCTGTTCCACTAAAGAAGATTAGGACGAGAAAAATATTGGACTAAAAAATAATGGTTTTGAAATATAAATTAAAACCTGTTTTTTGTAATTTTGACAAACAATTTGAAATATTTTTTTAATAATTGTGGACCTTTTTTCCTTATAAATCGGTTATATTTATAAAAGTGTAAGAAGGGCACATGTCAGATAGAAAACGTATGCCATTCATGATTACATAATTTTAACATACCAGCCTTAGCAATTGCGTCTTGGGTGTTACTTGAAATTTAATCCGCTGAAACGTTACATAAAGTCTATCACTTTGCCAAAAGTTGGGAATATGTGAGATATACCCTTTTCATTTCCACACATTCATTTATACTCCTACATTTGGTCACGAAGTCGCCCGATGTTTGACATTCGGAGAGATTGAATGGAGGATAACACGGTGGCATGCGAGAAAATGTTTGATTCTGGCGTCCTTTGAAGTTACACATTTCATTATAAGTTTTCCAGTGACTGACACTCTGAGGGTATGTAAGTGTTTGTCTTTCTGCTTCGTAAAGTTGAGTAATCTTAACCGGCATGTGAAACTTAAGCACAAAATGCAGACACCCCCCCCTTATTTCTCAGAAATTTACACAAAGGCCTTAATTTGTAGAATTACTCTATAAAGAAATTGTTTGATTCCTGTGTGAATATTTGTGTTGTTATTAGTCCATTTCAGTTGATAAGTTACATAATTAAATTAGTTTAAGATAGGAATTAATTAATTAATTACATTCCTTGTTTGCTTTGTAGCGTTATCTACTGCAAGATCTGACGCGAATTAAGCAACATGATGCAACCGGGAGCTGGCCTGTTAGTAAGCATTATTCTGCCCGCGCTACTAGGGTGTGTTCTAAGTGAGATGCCTTCATTGCCTGAAAAAGCTGAGATAATCCATTCCGTGGCGCATCACTTCCACTTGAACTCTGTCTTTCCTCTGGAGATCCAAGGAGAAGGTAACACATAAAATGAAATGAACGCCAATGTTACGTCGGCAAGGAAATGGAAGAACGCAGTCGTTACCTATTTCAAGGTACTATATTGGCATCCTCTCGGAGAAACTGAGGACAATCATAACGAATATGAGTCAGGATATCCTGTAATCCGGTTGAGATTCGAACCTTGTACTGTTTTAGGCTTTAGCGCTACACCAATAATCTCGCTTGTTTCTTATGGACCGAAACGTGTGAAATTGTAATTCTTATACGAGGCTCGTCCACAAAGTAAGTTTCCCTGGGGCCGTTTACAGAAACAAAACACAATTTCATGGAAATATTTATTGCAACAGATACAGCAAGTGTCCAGCTATTTTTCAACAGATTCGCCACCGGAATTGAGACATTTGTCATACCGTGGGACCAACTTTGGAATCCCTGTTGAATGATTAAACACCTCCCAGCTGAACTCCTGCAGGAGACTCGCTGTCCGTTGAGCCGTGTGCGGCCTAGCGTTATCACTGACCGCACTTCACAGTCGGCGGGAGCTGGAATAAGAACCTCCCTCTTCAACAGCTGCAACGATGCTACTGTGAGAACGCGGGAAGTACCGTTAGTGCATGCGCCATGCTACGTCATTGCTCTATCACGTACGCACAGTCGCTTCGCGCAATATAAGGTTTGCTAGCTGTGGGACGAGTGGGAAACTTACTTTGTGGACGCGTCTCGTACTAAAATGTGAAAATAAATTTTCTCCTCTCTGCACAGAAGGGATATTCCTTTATTGTATCCTTTCCTCACACTTTAGTCAAAATTGTAACTTTTAAACCACCCTAATTTATTTTTTCAAGGTATATTTCATACGTGAGAGATTATATTGACGGACATTAACATTAACCAGTCCTCGTGAAACACGAGAAAAAAGGAATCTTAACATTATACAAGCAACCAGAAACAAATTGAATTCGACATAAAAATATGCCTATATAAAATACATGCGAAGAGTCGGTAAGCAATATTTTACATTGCTATCTTTTGTACAGTATTTCATAGCTGTTTTAAATACTGATGTGAAAACTTGTGGAACCGAGAAAAGGTTTTAACAGTTGTACTTTTTACTAGTTCTACTATTATATTTTCCCAGATTTTTTTATTTCCTGCTTTTATTCCGGGCATACATCACTATGAAAGAAATGTTTCTTAATGTAACAAAACGTTAAAAGAATTTGGAATACATGTAGGTCTTTTATAGCGTAATATATAAGAATTATGAAATTGACACAAACTTGTAATACTTCTTAAAACATGTTTTTGTAACACCACTAATGGTTGCATTTCAGGAATAGATTACGGTCAGTCTGTGGTAAAGATTCGGCGATATTTGTCCGGCAGCCGGATTTTCACTTTCAGTTATCTTTATCCGGACACGATGGTTCGACTAGGCGTTCTTAACGTCATGCTGTCCACAGAAAAGTCTGAAGAATCTTTGCGTCAGGTATCTTAATAGGAATATTACTCTGTTTTGTACAAATTGAAACCAATCATAAAGGATCACATGCAACATGCATGCGTAGGTGTACACATTTTCATGTAATTATAGGTGTTAAAATAATAGAGATTGTATTATGTTTATTGATTATAATGAATTGTAAGTTGATGTTCTACGTTACTCAATTATTATGCATAATTTTGAATTCTTTGTGCTTCTGTGAAATATTTATTGATATTGTTAATTTAATTAGCGTATAATAACTTAAGTCATCCCATTACGCGTTAACTGTATACACGTCTAACAAAGAACGTAGAAAATATATTCAATTGTAGTAATTCAATATCTTTATGCTGTCAGTAAGGCTCTCTTCAAACACTTCTAAAATAATTGCAGGTAAATTTCAGCGTTCCACTGTCAAATACCGTTTGGCTAGCTTTCATGGACAGTGATTCTTCCGTGGAAGAGTTATTTATTAATATTGCCGTTCCTTTCGACTGTGAGTTCCTGGTGGCTCAGGAGGAAGACGGCTGCATTATCATCACAGAAGTATACCACATTAACGCAGCACTTCCCCTGCAGACTTGTCGTATCGGGAATTGGAGCTCGCATATCGGCATGTCCTGGTCTTCTATGACCTTTTATCAAAGAAGAAGAAGCCTTCAAAACACCGTGTTCAGAGCAGGCGTCTTACAGGCATGACATGATTTTGACTGTAGAATGAGAAACAAGAAGTAAAAGTTTAATATCAAGTTGTTTCAATTATATTTTTTGAGTTGTGTTTTTTCTTTCCTAGGGACCAGCAACTTCAGTTTTCAAGGGAGCAGACGGCAAGATAATGAAAATAGGGAGTTATATTGGGCATATTTGGAATATTCTACAAGGAATAATGAATTTTTCGTGAGTATTACTGTTGGGTATAAATATGTAGGACCTAGGATTGAGGGCATATTCACAAAATTGTTATTTAATTTGTTGTAAGGGTTAGATTTGAGGTTAAACTTGTATTTCTCTAAGTCCTAGTTTCGTCCTTCATTTATTGATCAACAGAACCAGTTACTACACAGCAGCCGACAGTGCTTTTGGTGTGGAGATGGTGAACGGGAGATGGAACGGGTTGCTGGGGATGATTGACAGAAAGGAGATTGACGTCATCAGTACCGACATATTGATGGATCGTAAACGACTTGGAATTGTGAACTTTATGAATCCTTTGTTTGAAGTCAGGTATCTTTTCTTTCCAAGTACGTTTAGAAGATAATAAAATAAATGTAATTACTAATTAACCAGACCCCGAAATCCAAACAGTCTCTACACGGTGTGTAGAGTCACGAAGATGTGACATGGGTCGGTCCTCCAACTTTGACGTAGGACGAGCATGAATACTCTATTCTATTTAAAAAACCTCGGATGGACTCCGTATGACCTATGTTACAGGAGATGAGAAATAAGTGTAAGATTTTTGTTCGAAATCCTAAAGGGATTATGCTATTTGTCAGTCGTAGACAGGAGAATAATGTTAAAACATATGTAAAAAAGTACTTTGTGATGATATGGATTGGATTCTAGTGTCTCGGTATAGGGTAGAGTTAATGGTCAAAGCAATGAACATTGCTGTTACATAAAGCTAGGAAATGTTTGACTAGCTCTTGAGAGTCTATAAATATAATCTCCTCCAGGACTCAGGATTCCTGAGGTTTAGTCAGAAAAAAGAAAAATAATTAAGGTTTTATACTTGAAAAATAATTACGTACATTCACTAAATTATCATTCTATTGGCATTTATATCCATTTTATGACGTCACTATTTTCTTTCCCAAGAATTTACTGAAGTTGTTGAAAATTGTTTCCTCAATTAGGCCTGAATATGGCCTAATAATTATGTCTGTATTTTATAATTACAGGACCTACATGTTCATTCGTAGCCCAAAGAAGAGCGACATGGATTGGGAAAATTTCCTCAAACCCTTCAGCACAGGCTTGTGGATGGCTATTCTTGGTGTCATACTTGTTCTGTCAGTCTTCTATTTTATTGGTATTAAAGTCTGTCGTAAATATAATGAGGAGTCAGAAGGCATCTGGACGTTCAGATTGTACGATTCTGTATTTTACATCTATTATAGCTTCTGTCAACAGGGTAGGTACTCAGTTCATCTTACTGCCACTCTTTTAACTTGCAGATGTAATAATAACATCCTGCCTTGTAATGCTGGGGTCTCGGGTTCGATTCCCGGCGGTGCCCGAATTTATAACTTGTGTTGGGCAAGGCCGTGGTCTAGGCAACACGAAGGTTTCCTCCGGGGGCTTCCCCGGTTTCTCCGTGGCATCCCAACAATTACTCCATTCACACACAGAAGATGGCAATGGCAAACCACTTCTGGATCATCTGCCAAGAACGTATATGAACAGGTCCCAGTCCGAGAAAAGGATGGAAGGATCCTGTTCATATGGACCTGTCGTCAGACAGAACACTAAATAATAATAATGTTTTTTTATAGAAATAAAAGGTATTTTCTATCACATTTCTTCTTCTTCTTCTTCTTCTAGCATAGTTTTCTGTCTGCATCAGTCTATGTTAAAACCAGGTAGAAGGATGTAAATTTTTCTTAAACATCTATCATCTGGCGGATGAAGAAAGAGCCCATTACAGGTTCAGTTCCAGTCCTTGCACTATCGCAGTGATAACAGTTATAATCGTGTAATTCGAAAGCATTTAAAGGAAAAAGAAATTTGATAAAGTGATGTCACGTGACACTGGTCTATTCAATATTCCAGCACAGTCCGACCCGGTAGTTTACTCGACGTCTTGCCGTGTTCTGAGCGTGACTACGTACCTGACCGCGGTGGTGCTGCTAGTGGGGTACTCAGGCTTCCTCATCTCGTACTTGACTTTCAGGACCACTGAGCTTCCGTTCACCTCGTTTGGACACTTTCTGCAGGCCGGAACCCACCGCCTAGGTGTGCTGTCGAACTCAACACACTACGTGCACTTCAAGGTAGGTTACAGTCTCTTCGGCCACGGTTTCAAATCCTGCCTACACCATTATATGCGTTGATCGTCACTGATTTTACTTCTGCATGTCGTCCTTCAGGATTTATCTGTCATTCAGTTACTATTCATCAACCAACATCAGTACCAGAAACACTGGGCTGACCTCGAAATTTATAGGCATTGAAAATCAGTTCACCCTCTCTTACGATATAGTATTTGAAGATCTTACCACGTTGAGAACAAGGATGACTGTCTTCTGGGTTGTAGCACTATATAGACTTGTAGATGTTTATTATCATTTCAGAGGTCCTTGCTGCTTCCATCATCAGGGCGATGAGTGCCCTGATGACGGAGGCAGCAAGAACCTCTGAAACAATGGTAAACTTCTGCCAGATTATACGGCGCTACAACCCAGAAGAGCTATCTTTGTACGTTATTGAATGCATTGGGCTGGCTCGGTATAAAGCCGAAAGGAAGGACGATTTGTTGACGAGCTATTTATATTTCGTACATGATTTGAATGAGGAGAGCAATGTAAGCGCTGGAAATGTCCATTTGTCTTTCCGGTATGTCTAAAGTGAACGACATGAAAGAAGGCCGGGTGGCGCATATGTAGGCACGCACACACAAAAATATCTGTTTCACGCATGAAGCAACTGAATACTTTATACACCAACTTTAAGAAGGCGATTGGTACACGAGAGGACGTGACAGTAGATGCGTAGAAGTGTACAGAACGCAACTGCCATCATTCGCGTCGATCGCTTTAATGGACTTTGATGAAGGTAGTGTGCGGAGGCCTACACTAGATTTCGTTAAGTCAGCCTTCTGCTTTGTCACTCCAACACAGCTGTTACTGGAAACTAAAACACGGCTTTATACATTTTCTCGAAAAAGGACCAACAATCAAGATTTGATAAAGTTTTCTTATTAAGTCAACGTTTATTTGGCACATATTTTATCGTTGAATTTAACGAAACTCTGACCCCGTGCAATATGACATCTATAGTGAATAAGGTTTGCATTAAATAAATATGAGTATCGATAAGGTATGCAAAATTACAAAGAAAGCTTTTTAAAATATGTGTATTCAGTTTTAACACACCTTTTCACTTCCGTTGCGCTCGCTGGTAAATTCCAGTTAATGATTTCTGTGACAGGAAAGCACAAATCCCAACATGCAACAACTGTTTCTGCGCTACATTTTTCCCAACAAGGCAGACCATCCGAAGTCCTTCCTGGAGGGCTTGCAACGAGTCTGCTCTAAGGAACGCTATTCATTTATGGCGCCTGTGTTCATCGCCAATGGTTTTCTGAAAGAACTCCCGTGCGACCTGGTTGCAATTCCTGAGGCGTATATTCCTGCAACAGCGACTCTAGCCATAGAAAAGCGAAGTCCGTTTCAAGGCCTCTTCTCGCACAAGTAAGTTGACTTTTGGACGCTAGCTTTATTTTCGTTGGATTACGATCAGAATAATCAATCTTTGCTTTATCAAATATCAATTACACTTTTCAGAAATGTTGGTACTCTTCATAAGAAAGGTTTAATTTATTACGAATTAATATATAATGTTCTCATGCATTTTACACCCTCGGGGATTAATAAAAGTACTAAAAATCTCGGGTCATGTTACTAAATACAGAAGGAATGTTTAATTTCAAATGAATCCATATAACTAGACAAGAAGTTTTGAAAGTAGAAAAGTGGAACTAACCTCTATATGAAACTTGTGATTATAAAGAGAATGTTATAGAATATTATCATAATTACAAGAAGCGGTTAGAAAGTAACTTGGCCCTTTTATTCACTAGACCTAATTTACGTTCGTTTTCTCCTACATGTTTTGTCTGAACTGCTTCGAGATGAGGAATAACTTTATATTACTCTTTTAAGAATCCCTGTTCTTGGGATTTTTGGAGTGTTTATGAATTTTATATCTCTCCTATTCATGCCACATGGTTTCCCCATTCGGTTTACCTTTATCTATTCACCGTATTACTGTCATTGTAACGGAAATAATAATTACATTTTGTCTTCGTAATTTTTAAATGTGGCTTTCAGGTTATGAATTTATTTATCAGCGTATGGTTTCAAAAATTTTGAGTAGTTGAAATTATTTCTTTAGTGCGTTTGTCTCAGTGCTGGTCAATGTATGTGTATTTCATACAAAAATATAAAGATATTTAAAGTAATCTTTAACTTATATACGGATTACAAAAAAAAAATTAATAAAAACAACGAACATTCGTTAACCTAGAAAATAAAGAAAGAGAGATTACGGGTTGTTACAGCGGCGAGAGTGAAGATGGCTCTCTTCTGGGTTATTGCGTCGTGTTGTCTGGTAGACGTTTATCTACAATCGCCCTGATGATGGAGGTAGGAAGCACCTCTGAAACGCCACTAAACTTCTACCAAACTACACGGCGCTACATCACAGAAGACAACTGACTTCATATTTGCTGCCATTTTAACCTGAAATCCCACTTAAGTATTATCAGTTTATGAGTTAATGGAAACAGTTAAAATAAACATAAGATAAATTTGCATTTTTGGGTATTAAATAAATGTATTTTTCGTCGTAGTTCAGTCATTATAGCGACTGGCTTCAGACTGGACGACCGGGGTTCGATCCTCGACGAGGGCAAAAGATTTTTCCTCTAGCCTCTGCGTCTAGATCGGTTCTGGGGCCCACCCAGCCTCCTATCTAATGGGTACCGGGTTCCTTTCCCGGGGGTAAAGCGTGGCCGGGGCGTGGTGCTGACCACTCACCCCCATCTAGTGCTGACGTCAAGAATGAGTTGGAGCTATTTATATATTCCTCTTCCCCGAAGCGCCTCCATGTCGTATAGTGGAACAGCTTTGCTTTACTTCTATTTTTCAGCATACAGAAGATGCGACGAGCTGGGATTCTACAAAAACTTCGAAAAGATTTCCTGTTTTCTAAATTGATTAATGTGGAAAACGCAAAATCACCTGCTGACATAGACGAAATTGAACCAATTTTGGCAATTCTTCTTCTTGGCATTGCTTTATCATGCATTGTCCTTTTGTTCGAAATAGCCGCCAGTCGTGCGTCCTCTTATACGAATTCGGTCGCGAAAAAGTAGAACGGTTACAATTTGTTGAGATTTCAGTTTCTTCAGCGGCGAGTATGAAAATGACTTGTCTTCTGGGTTCTTGTTCCGTGCAGTCTGCTAGATGTTTGCTGACGTTTCAGAGGTCCTCCTTCTCTCCATCACCAGGCCGCGTAGGACCACGAAGTTTTATAAGGTTAATTAACGAAGCTGTGTAGGGCGAAACGAAATTCGCGCACAAGAGTTACACGTCACCGTCAAATGGAGTGACACACTTCTCGGCAGTATTATTTGTCACGACGAAACACAAAGCGCGTTCTTAGGTGTGCTCAACACACGCAGTGCACAGTAGGGCTCAGTTGTGACCAAATGGTCATGGAGTACTCACACAAGGAATACTGCGACATGCCCATAACTCTCGGTGACCGTAATTTAAGGCGTGTTTGAGAGAATGTCGCGCGGCGCATTGCCTCTGCCTTGAAAAGGCTGGAGGCCGGTTTGAACACCTACGAGACGTCCATGGTTTGATGATATTAATATGTTAGCTTGCTCCACTTAACGTTAACATGTATCATGAAAATTAAACCTCACAGAACATATATAGAATAAAATTTTTGACTTTTTAACAAGAAATTACAGTATGGAGAGATTGTGCGCGAATTTCGTTTAAAACTGTATAAAGTGATCGATTGGTATTTGCAGATCTTATTACCTAAGGACTCCAGGACGGCAAATAATACAAAATGTGTAATGTCTCATGATTTTGTTTCTAGAATCTGAATTTAATTAATGATTCAGTACATTCATTTGCTTCTTTAGTACACTACGCACCTTGTATCAATTAACAGGATAACAGATATTGTTATTAATTTCTAATGTTTAAAGAGTGCATCCTGTTTGTGGCCAGATTAATAAAAATGCATGCAATTAGTCGCCTGCACTACCTGTATTTTATTTATCTAAGATACATTTATCAGCCCAACTTGACCATCTTCTGGCATAAACGTAAGTGTAAGAGGGCTTGATACATGATCTGGTGTCGGTCTATGCATATTTTTACGACATTCTAACCTATGCCAGATTCAAGTGAGTGTTTTACAAACTCTTAATGTTGTTTAGTTTAGTGTGTGTAGAAGGCTCTTGAAGCCATGTATTTTATAAAATTTCCATGTATGCAACATTGCAAAAGAAATTACATAAATGAACGAAATACTATACTAATATGTTCAGTTGCAATTTTGTTGAATATTAGCGTCCTCCATACTAATGTATTTTTATATTCTATTTGTTATTACATTTCTATATTTATTATTGTGTTCGTGTGCTCATCTCCGTGCTGTATCTGTAATTGGCCTTCTGGCTGTTGATACAGCACACTAATAATAAAGAATTGAAGTGAATTGAAAGAATTAAATTGAAACATATCGATATTCTAAATCCTGTCTTCGATACCTCAGATCTGGAGACAAGACGAGGCTCCCCTTCTACGTTGCCGCCAACCCCTTCCACTTTCACCCCCAATCGTGTTCAAAGCCATGTTATCCTTGTGAATCACCAGCTTTAATCCAAGTCTGTATCTACTGCCGTGCAGTCACCAGTGCCGCTGTACTAACCTCAGTCAAATTTGGTGAGTTTTGTGACCGATTGTAAAAGCACACAGATTTTTTAACGATGTATTTAAAATAGGATTGTTCTGCAGTATTTATTATTAATAGAGAATAACCCATTTCTATTCAAAATCTATACAACACGGGTTAATAAGCAGAATATAGCACAGCCCTTCATGCAAACGCCTTACGAAAAAGGTGCGATATACATAATAATGCAAATGAAATAAAACACAATGTAAAATATTAGACCCTGCGTCTTGTATTAAAGCTAGCAGACTCTGCTGAGCAACTTAAATCAGGGCCGGGCGACAAAGGTTGGAGTGAAGCCCTTCCGTACAATTTGGTGACTACTATAAGGCTAATATACCATCACTGCGAAAGCGTGATGATTCTGGTTTATCCAGAATATTCTTCTTATTTTCTTCGTCAATAGCCAATGTCTTGTGTCCGTCAGATTCATTTTCACGAATTTATATGTTTCCTTGTAAAGTGGACAAATCTACTTTATTGTTCAAATGCAGTTTAAAGTAGAGCAACATTAAACAATAATTTTTAACACCATCATTCATTATGTTCATAATATAGACCTATTATAGTATCCGTAAAGTATCACTGATGAGCTCTACGTCATAAGGACACATAGTGAGCTTGCACGTGGTGTAGACTATAACAGTGGATGGGGGTGAGTGATCAACTGAATGCCCCGGACAGTGCGGTAAAATTGGGTTGGAGATTATTCTGGTTGCGGTACGGTAATGAAGAAAAGGTGTTTGCCCCTATTTTAAATCGATCAATCGCACTCTTGTCATCTCGACCGTTTTCAGCCTGTACTGAATAATCTATCAATGGTTTTGTCTTGATCTTGACATTCCTTCAGAAATATAAAATTTTTCTTGTAATTTGTTACGCAGTGTCTTCCAAAGTGAAAGACGACCGGCCATCGCGGTAAATATTGCCAAAGCAATGCCTGAAGCGAGAACTACCAGGATGGGAGTCACTTGGCTCAGTGACACGCTGCTGATTTCAGGCTCTATCCTGGCCATTTTCTCTTCGTCTGACTTAATTGATCCAGTCCGAAGCATACCATGTAGTCTGAAATATCAAATTTTATTTATATGAAATGGGACAGTGTATTAGTATAAAGCAAGGGATACATTACATTTAGAACTCATAGCTTCATAAAATTATAAAAAAAATCTCTTCTGTGTTAAAGAGTGACAGCGAAGTGGAATGTTAATCCCCAAATTTTATGTAACAAAATCTCTACCTGTACGTTTTCTTCACTGACACACGGGAAGCCCTGGGTGCTGAGCAACACTAATTTCTGCTTCTGCTACTGATAAAAATATGCCCATTTTTTATGAATTTTCAGGCAGCTAAGGAATGTTAAAATGGGTAATAACATAGTATTAACATATAGTACGAAACATTCATAATTTATAAGTTAGTGGATTGTATGTTTAGATAGACGCACATATGCGTTTCGCTCTAACGACAAAACAAAAGTAACGTAATTGTTATAATTTTCTAATCGCTGAAGAATATACCTGTTCATGTTTTATCAAGAAATAATTAAAATATCCAACTTCATCACTTGTGTTTCTCGCCATAGATTCTTGGGCTATTAAATCAAGGACGAAATTGTGGTTTCAATATGTGGATCACATGGAAACTATAATGTGCTTGTGTAATATGACGAGTATGCTTCTTGTACAACTGCCAGTTTAAAAGCGAAAGTAAGACGGCAAACCAATAAAAATATGTTATCTAAGTATAGTAAAGATTGGAAATATTCTTTATTGACAGAATTTAGTCTTTTTGCTTTCGGCTTGGGTTTCTATTGTTAGAGAGAAGCTGGCTGGTCAGTTAGTCTGCAATATAAATCGTTAACGTATGAAGTGTAAAATGACAATAACTTACGTTTGTTTGAATATTTCTCGATATGGACTTTTGTTTTGTATTGAAAACGAAACTGCAGCCGCTAGGTAGGCGTTTGGAACTTTGTTTAGTGTGCAGTTTAACTTATCCAAGTTTACAAGAACGTCACGTTCTGTAGCAATGGCGGAATATTTTCTGTTTGCACAAACCATCTCTAGTCGGTCCAGTAGAGTCCTCGGGAGGGAGGATTCTATGGGCGCAATGAACTTCTGATACACTTCTCTTAGAACAGAGTTATTAGACATCTGAAACAAATAAACGTGTCAAATTAATCCAAAATATACCACGGTTCAATAGGATGTATTCTATGAATATATAATATGTAACCTATCAAATTAACGCCTGTATTTAACACAATATAAATAAGAGACTTTGATATGTTTATTATTTTATACTGGACGTAATTCCATTTTAAGGTTTCAAATGGGCCCATAATATTGCCAGCGAATTGCTTTATTCGTTTGTGATTATGTTGTTAAAGTAATGAGGATTTTAGGACTAAAATGGGATAGGCATATAGATCAGATGGACAAAAAATGTAATTCAGTATTTAAATATTTTGATGAAAGGTCACTTTGAGGATGGAATAATGTAGACTACGAACGTGGGAGGTGGATGGTACTGTCTCAGGATCATGTTCAGCGGAAGGCGTTGATATTGGAGGTGTTGAATATTAATGAGAAATTTATTAGTATGAGTGGTTACATTGTTTCCTCTTCAGCTCAGCCTTTATTAAATTCTCCCGTCGATGTCCCTACAATGCCGGGTGTCCTGCTGACGACTGAAGTAAATTTCTTTACTTTTCTCAATTTCATATATTCATATAGAAATCAAACTGAATGCACCGGTGTTTATAAAGCTGTACATAGACGTACTTTTATTCAGCTATTGGTATTAAGATATATTAATGACTTTGTAGTTATACACATAAACAAATCATGACTACGAGTATTCCCATAATTTATCACAACAGTCAGAATAATTTTGATAAGAAATAAACGGATCAGCCCGATTTTAGTTTATTTACGTCATTCAATATGTATCCAGTACCGATTTATATACACTGCATATTTTACAATAAAATGCGTTTGACTTATTTTGCAATAGGCTCAGTATGAAAATGTAATACATGCGTGTTAAAATGTCGATCTGTACTCTGTGGTTTTTAATTTAGTGTAATTAAAATGTTATACATTTTTGGGCTATTAAAATATTTTAATTAAAAAGTATTTATTCATGCTTTAAAATGAAAAAAATGTATATTTTTGTTATCAGAAGACAGACAAAAGCAAAATACCTTGAAATACATGATCTGGGAACTATAAGGTTCTACCACGAGCTGGTACGTTCCAACTTCTAGGAATTCTTCGAAGCTGTGGAATGGCAGGTTGTACTCCCTTGTCATGATGTGGGAGATGAGAGACGCAGAGTAGCTGGTTAGCATGATGACTGCTGTGAGATGAGTGGTTAGGAAGACGATTCGGCTAGACGTGTGATATGGCGTCTTACAACCTGGTGAAACAGTAAAGGAAATTTGTACTCATATAATTGAGTCCACGTGATGTAGGTAATTATTAATGTTGCTATCAATATCATTATAATGTACATGCGAGCTTATGACGTGGCGTCAAGACTAATGTTATAAGTTATGTTTAACAATAGGTCTTTAAAATTATGTTATCTTAGTACGGTATTTTTTTGAAAGTGGGAAATATGACAGGGATAAATTTTTAGTGCAATAACGAAAAGTGTTGAATAGTTTTTATGTATGTGAAATCTACAGACACATCCGTTAATAGTACGAGGGACACAAATCTATCAGGATAATTAAAGCCATCAAGGTTAACGCCTTCAGAACTTAAAATACACCAACTTATGGCGATTTAATACATTTCGTTCAAAAGAGTTGTCAGCTTCACACTTGATTTACATTTTCACTTTGTTATTAATAAGAACGTCGATTTACCTTGAGAGCAGAAAGTACTGAATGCACAGAATAAAGACTGAATGAAGCTAAATTTGAGTTCTTCCATAGCGAATTCCAATTCGCAACAATTGCACAGTTTCATTGTTAACCACAGGCATAAAGACAAAGTAAGGAGAGAGACAACCAAAGCCACCCAAAGACCAGGGCTGAATGGCGCGACCAGACTGTGCCAAATTAGGTCAGTAGACTTGGGCGTTTTGACGAATAGGAATCTCCTGAAATAAAATTGCATTCATTTAGGAGAGACGCAAAACAAACTTGTTGACATGAAGTAAACTTCAGATTCTGAAGTACAGTGTGTTTTTATCTTTATTAACTGAAGTCGGCTGATATCTTTTGTTCTAATTTTTAACTTAAAAAGTGAGAAAATATATATATAATCGTGTTTTATTTTATAAAATTATATGCTTCCCGTCAGTTACTATCTTAAGACCTTAGCTATTGTAATAAATAGTTAATATTCTTAATTTAAACCCTGATCCGTGTAAAAAAAATGTGTTTATCGAATTCCTAGGGCCCATCTGGGTATGGGTATATAATGTAATTTAATTCTACCTAATATCGTGGTCGACTGATTAACATTCTTCTTTTGTATACGGTTTAAATCTAGGTCAGGAGACCGGCTTTTTTATCCTACATTTCTCGTCATTTTCCTCGGTCCCTCAAAGAAAATACTGGGGTAGTAACTTAAATTAGATCATGGCCATTTTCCTCTTTATTCTATCCACTTTATTATCGTTTATCATATCATTTGACGCTCATTCACCTCAACTATTGAAAACGTTGTTACGTGAACTATAAAAAAACAGTTTAACTTCTGACTTAAATTTCTTTTAACTTTTCTGGTGTAAATGTAAAGCGATAAGTGGTGATATTGAATGATAGTTTTTCGAAGAAAAATACTGAAATGGAGCGTAAATTTATAGAGAGTTTATAAAAATATCTGTAAAATCGAATTTAACTGAATTCATCTTATAATCTGGTTCATGTGTTACTGTAGTCCACGACTGTAATCTTGAGACTTGCAATGAAAGCAGGAAGTCCGTAGCGTTAAAGGCAGACGCTACCTTTCCTCCTTCACCCCACTTCCGCACCCCGCAAGTCTCAAGATTGCAGTCGTGGACTGTACCTGACTTGATTTATCTGAGCAATAAAATCAACAACATCTTCACGATCAGCAGTCCACGTCATGTCCACATTATTGACGTGCACTTCGTGTCTCATAAGCATCCCGACCAACCCGTTCCAAGTACCATTGCCCACATTTGAACCGTACCAGTTGCCCTCAGGGGTGTAGTAATCTGAACTAAACAAAGAAAATATTTAATAGAATTTCAGTACAAACAAATCTCAGATTTGCTAGTAAAATTAAGTAAGTGTTCACGGTATTAGCAGTATCATATTCACACTGACATTTGTTATTTTAATTTTAATAAAGGCTAAAAATAGTAATAGTCTATTGGTATCACTGCTAAGATATGTGGTAAGAAATAATTTGTTAGATTTTAGTTTTTCACGGCGGGCGAGTCCTTATGGGTTGTTGCTTGTTGATGGAGCCAGCAGGGATCTCTGAAACGTCGGTAAACTTCTGCCAGATTACACGGCGGAACAACCCGGAAGACGGCCATCTTCAGAAATAATTTAGTTGATTTGGAAACAGTTCTAACTAGGGTAATACCAACTATTTTGTGCTTAAAAGTAGCCTACTGCATTGGTTTATTAAATGTAACCACATAATTGTATGTACGAGGTGCGATCGGAAAGTTTCAAGACTGTGTCAATAGAGGGCGAACCGGATGTAGTACGAGCTTCTGCCGCTAGGGGGTGCGGCCTACATTCATAGTGAATCAGTGTGC